TTCAGGGAACCACAATGGCAAGAAATCCCAAGCCAGGAACCCTAAAGGCCTGAACGCGAAGCCCCAGACCCGAACCCTAAATCTAAACTAAAAGGTTTAGGGTTTAGGGTAGGGTGAATTAGGCTCCGCGTTCAGGGCCGGCCGAGCGTCTCTTCTCTGTCAGGGTTCTGGGTTCAGGATTTCTTTCACAGCTCTCTGAACATGAAGGGCCTCCTGGTGATACAACAATCCTGTACAATCTTAGTGTATATAGAATATATACATTTCCCCTAAACCCTAAACCCTAAACCCTACATTACCAACATCCCACTTCGGTCATGTAGATTGCTCGTATCACCCGTGGTTGTCTGAGGCCTGCACAACCCTAAGGGTCCAAGCAATTACCGCATAATCATATACTTACCCAAAACCTATACTATGATTACTACTACCCAAAACCAGGGGAAACCCAATTATTGGGTACTTGGACCCTCTGGGAAGGAACCTCAATCTTGAGACGTGGCCAACTCACGCTGTGCTTGTGTAATATGAAGCTCCGGTCAAACCCTCTTGCAAGGTCCACGGGTAATAAGGACCTACTTGGAGTTTCCCAACATTAGCCGTACCTTGTGGGGTCCCAATAATAAAGACCATACTATTGGTTCCCTGATTTTGGGAAACTACCATCATTTATAACACAATGACGAGCCCTGTAAGCCCCCAATATGATCATAATTCAGTCATGAGTACAAGTGTAAACCCTGGGCCCTAAGCCTTGAACACCAAACTCGACGCCCGTTTAAATGTGTCTACTCAAACCTCCCAAATAGCTGCAAAGATAGCTTATGCACCCCCAAGCTTGGCAAGTTTTTATTGCAGGAATATTGACGCTTGATGGTGGAAGCTTGAATGATGTCCAACATCATGCCCTTGTAACCCTGGTCATGCTACATTACAATAGAACATGCAACCATATTCTGATTCAATAAGCATTTACATTACAACCCCCATGACATAATCCCCCATAGAATGCCAGTACTCATCTCATCCCTTACGTCCCAGTGACCCTTTTAAAGGGACCTAGAGCTCGTATATTAGTACCTGAACCATTGTCTAAACTTCTAGTATTCCCCTGAGTAATGCATATAATGGTTCCCTTTATAATGCCCTATGTCACTCCCTTTCAGGAGTTTAGATTATGGCTCACCTGCATCAAGTACCCGAAGCCTCAAAGTGTGATGTCAAGGTGAATGGATTCGCGCCAGCAAGATGTATTCCAACCCTCTACCCAAAGTTGCCGTGGGCGAAGTTCGGGCTTGGAAAAAAATCGGGGGTCCCTGTGCGATTTCGGGTTTAAGGCTTGGGGGCCCTGATTATTTAGGCTAGACTGTTGTGATATGATATGGCTCGTACTGAAATTCTGCATGATTCCACAAGATTTGGGGTACTCGGGGTCATGCCGGAACATGTTCCAGCGCCAGTCGTATGTGCAGGAATGCCTTTGCTTTTGTCTGGAGTTGTTGGGTATCTCCCCTTGTAGGTGGTGAGCTTTCTGGGGAGCAAGCGCAGCCTGGAGCGCTTTGCGTGCACCAACACGACGGCGAGAGCCAAGACGTGCCGGACTCAATCACGGGACAACCAGGATTTACGGTTAGAGTTTAGGGTTTAGGGTTCGTGCACCCGCACCAAACTACTCCTTCCCTCTACTAATGCCCTCCCCGCCCCCAACATATATAGGGGTATTCATTTTTAGCGGGGCGGTCGGAGTATTTTTCGGGCAGGCTACCATGCGACCCGCAATATGCAACTTAGTAAGGCCTCATTTAGCCAAGAAGAGCCTCAATAGCCCAAACATCTAGGAATGCCCTACCATGTATTGGATGGTCCACTCTAGCCATATGACAAGAGGATGTAGAGTTGCGTGCAGGGTTTAAGCTTGAGGGTCTTATGCTGGTGTTATTGAGTGTACGTAAGGTTCACCGGCCCTAAACGCTGAACCCTTTGGGTTCCCTGCGAACATTAATGGCCGGAATCATCGGGTAATCTTATTGGCAACACGATGCTGGACCATGCCACAAACGTAAATCTTACCACTTGCACGGATGTTTCGGCTTTAGGTATCTGTGAAAGTTGAAATGGGATTTCACGTGACAAGACATTTTTGTTCGCAAGAGGGTGCCCATTTTGAGAGATGTTTATGTTTGATGTGGATGCTCTCATGCCAGCGCATAAAGGAGGTAGGCAGGGAATCTATAGCAGGACTGCCCATGAGTAGCAGTCTCATTTACCTAACCCCTAGACCCTGGACCCTCCAATGTAGTTCCTTTCTGGGTAGCTTCCGAGTTCTTTTCCGTTCCTTGCTAGAGTCCGATCTTGTCAATCATATGTGGGGGGTTTCCAGAAATTGGGGGTACCTTCTGGGCGCCCCTATAATAAAGCCTATAGTACATTGGGGTCTATATTAGGGCCCCTCCCCTAAACCCAAAACGCCAGAATCCTACACACTCAGGAGTCCGATCTTAGCATGCTCTGGCTGCAGAAAGCTCTGCAATAGACGAGCTCATAGTCTCCCCTGCGGTCACAAGCTCTGCAGCTGGGTCTACCTGGTTTAGGGTTTAGGGCTCATCAGAGTTACAGATTGGGCCATTTCCTAAGGGTACAGTAAAGAATATTCCTATACTCTGGGGTTATGATAAAGGGCATGGCTACGTAGGTTTTGAGGAGTAGATGAGGATTGTGTACTTTGGACCCCTAGGGTTGGGGCATTTGTTGGGGCTTTTGTTTTAGAAGTGATCTGGGTACTATCTTCTATATCGCCCCGAAGCTGAAGCAGTGTAGAAAAGGGTTCCAGAAGTTGATGAACAGCCCTGCACCCAAGGGAGTGGCCATAACGCAAAGCCTACCAAAGGCCCAATAATACCATTAGCCTGTAAAATGGGAACTCCAAACAAGGCTACGTTCAATTAGCCAAACAATCATTCAGATCGACTGAGCGCTATGTATTGCCCATACGCAGTAGAAAAGTTGGATAGTGAACAGAATACAAATATGTGAAGCTCCCAATATGACCCCCATAATAGACTGTTACCGGAACCGCAGATCCTAGACCCTAAGGGTTTAGGGTTTAGGGTTCAGGGTTTAGGGGACCGTAAACCCTAAATTTTGGAGGCTACGCCCAGGTGCGCCAGCGCAGCCAGGATATTCGAGCAGCAGCTGACAGGATTCAAGTAAATTGAAGCTTGCCACTAAAATCCACAAAGGCCCAGCATGGCTGAAAATTGCTCAAATTGGCTCGAAAAGGCAAGCTTGGCTCCAAAGAGCCTCCAAGGGCACAAGAAAGCCACCGTAGGTTTAAATTGGCCCCCAAAAGCCCAAATTGTTTCACGAAAGGCTCAAATTGGCGTCATCGCCCAGAAATTAGTCTCAGCATTCCAAAAAGGCTCCAAAATGGGTTTCCGAAAGCCAAAATTGGTTCCAACAATTTTGGGCACAAACTGGCTTCAAAACATTTCGAACCAACTTGGGCCTTTCGCGTCAATTTGTGCATTTGGAGCCGGTTGGAGCCGGGGACCTTTGGACCTTTTGGTGCCTTTGGGCAAGTTTGGATCTGGTGGCCTTTTGAACCAATTGGTTTTTTGTTGGAGCCAATTTAGGCTTTTTGGTGCCTTTTGGAATTACTTTGGGCCTTGGAGGCAATTTGTTTTTTTTTGTGCTTTTGTCCAAAACTTAAGCACAAAACACACAAATTTGCTACAAAAGGCGCCAAAAGGCCCAAATTGGCCCCAAGCTCCAGAAAACCCAAACTGCTCCGGAAGGCCTGAAAAAGTGTAAATGGATTCCAAGCGAAAGCTTACTTGGATCCCAAAAGATTAATTCGAGAAGCTGGGCCGCCCCCGGAACCGTGAAATGAAAAAGACTCAACGGTTTTTAGGGCGTCTCAGGGACACTCCCCTTAACGACAACTGACCCGTAAAGTGGTCGCCCGCTGCGCTGGCGAACCTTAAACCTTCAAACCATAAACCTCAGATGAGTAGTATTTCATTTGGGGATACTATGGTACCCAATATAGAGTAATATTATATCCTCCTTTAGGGGTATAGTATCTTATATAGGGAATATAATCTTACGAGGTTTAACCACCAAAAAAAAACTACACAGATGGACAATCTAGGTCGAGCTTGCACCTTTTCCGGCAAGAGCTGCCCAGTGCCAGCATGCGGCTACAGGTCCATGGGTTTGGCTAAATTGTAACAACCTCACCTTGAACGGTGGTGGTTTACAACTTAGGGCTTAGGGTTGAAACTGGGCTCATAATTTCAAGCTTTGATTTAAAGTTATTATAGAATGACTAGATGTGTGTGTGTGTGAAACTATAAGGGTACTGCGATGTCATTGGATGACAGCTTGTTAACAAAGCAGGGGGCGCGAGGTCCAATGGCAAAGCTCGCGCCAACAAAGCTCTTTGTCATATGGACAGGTAAACGTACCTGCAGAGATTGGCATGGGTG